AACAGAAGTCAAGTAGTCAACAACAAAAGAAGCAGTCCTTGAATCTTTGGCAGGCCTAACTCTCTACTCTCACTTTTGTGCTACCATCGAACAGGTTCTATATAGTACATGTGTGGTTATCATACATAGACACTAGGTGCTTTGGCAAATAGCATACAGATATTAATTGGGGAAAAATGGAACTTTATCCTATCCACATTAGTCACTTGATGGGACAAATAGATCCTTTCTGACCAAAGCCAAAATTATTGCCAATATATCAGTGAGCCTAAAGGCTACCTTTTCAAAACCTAGAATTTTCTTTTTGGAGTCTGTGTAGAAAAGAGGCAGGAATGGTTTCGAGTAAAGTTAGCCCACTGACGCAATGGGACCCAGATGAGGGTTCTGCTCCAGTTCCACTCTCAGCCAAGGAAACAAGAAGATGGCTAAGGTGTCAGTGCTGGAGAATCCAAGCTTTTCCCATTGCCCTTTCTGGTCTGAAATCAACTTCAAGTGCAGTGAGGCCCTGACAGACACCCTGAAATTCCAATTGACAGTGAGGGATTTGATCAAATCCTAGATTCTGTGCTGACCAGCCTTGCCCCAGAAGGAAGATACATGTTCTTTCAGATCAATGCCTCCAACCCATCCCTGTGGCTGTGTGCTGTGTGCTGTGGCTATCCTCACCATCTGCACCTATCATAGACGAGAGTTAATGTGCATCACCTCAATGAGTACCCCAAGACTGAGCTCAAAATGTGCAAGAGAACCTGCCCTCAAAGTTTGACTTCTCTCAGCTTAAGTGGAACATCTTTGCCTCAAACCCCTGAGGTAATCTGCTTCCATATCAACTAGGACAACATGAACAAGTTGGAAGCCTTAGAGAACCCCCTAACAATCAAGGGGCAACATCTATCTGCAAGAATCTTGTTCTACCTTGGCCTAGTCATGACATCTGGGAGGGACAACTAGAGCTCTCCAAGAGCCATAGGCTAGGTAGAGGAGGACTTTGGGATAATCAACAATTTCTAAGACAAACAAAGCTAGCCCCAAAGAAAAAGGAGGTCTCAAATCTCTCCCAGCCCTGGACTAAAAGGATCACTTCACGTTCACTACCCAGGTCTGTTAAGAAGTAGGTACTTCAGTTCTGAATTGTTTCTGATTTCTATCCTTTCTCTTTTGCACACACAAACTATAGATTCCACCTGCAGGTCACTGTGCCACCATGCTTCCATGAGAACCACTGACCAAAAGTTCTTCCAACAGACCTCCTCAAGCCCAGTCTGTCTGGGAGAAGAATCTTGATCAATGCCTGGCAAAATTTTTGCCCTACTGGGTCAAAGAATTTGTAATTCCTTTCCTTTCCTTTCCAGATCCATTCATTTTTTCTGGACTACTGTCCTCCGAGGACGATTTCAATCTAACAGCCACTAGAAAACTCTTCCCAAAGGTAAGATCAACAGAATGCTGAGGATTGATGGTTGAATCTCCTACTGGTAACAATCACCTTCATGTTTTCTCTTAACTGGATCTGGCTTGCCCTAAAGGCTGCCATGATGAAGAGATAAAATGTTGTAGGAGCCTTTGAGTGTGGTCTCAGTGTGAGAACTCAGCCTGTGGCTGCTCTAACTTGCCTTCTGCTAAATACCTCATGCTCCCAGAGTCCACAGAGTGACTACGGACAAGAAAAGCAGCAGGAACCCTGAAAATCTTTCTTTGCCCTATCATGCTCTCAGGTATACCCTATTCCCAACCTACTATATGGATGCTGCTTGTAACTACAGTTTTGTATATTAAAAGGATTATATATTAAACATGTTTGGCCAGTCTTGAAAGGCATTTCATCTAAAAGAAAAAAAAATAGGCTTTTGTAACAGCTCTTGTCTGACTCACATTAAAATTCTTGGTTTGTATTACATGAAATATAATCAGTAAAGCCCCAAACATTCTGCCAAATTAAGTAACACTGTATCACAAGTACTTTATCAGGTGCTTTAACATAAACAAATCAACCAGGTGGCAAGTATAGCAGATGCCTTTCTTAGTGTTTTAACTATGAAGCAGCACAGTGTTGTTTTTTTTAAATTATCATTCCCAAAAGCACATTTCATTATCACTTTTAGTAGATATCACTTAGAACAAACTGAAGAAGACAAAGAATTAAGACAAATAAATTTACGCATTCCTAAAGCTAAGTCTTTTACATGCAATTCATAAGTAATCTACTATATTTTATATTTGTCTCCAACAAAATGCAAAAACTAATAACCCAGCTCAAAATTTTCCTACAAATAAAAAATCACATTATGTACATATGCACACATACATACAAAATATAGCAAACTTGTAAGAAACAAACCTGGAGATTAAAAGAAGTGTGTTTCAAATAAATGATAAAGCTACCAATATGTGCAAAAAAATGCCAGTACAGCACACTATAATGTAACAGAACTTATTAAGAATTGTCAAGGGGGAAAAATTTCAAAGAAAACATTATTATTATATTTAACTTTAAAAAGCATAAAAATATGTGAGGGAAATATTCAAAACGGTACCTCTTACACGTTTAAGTTCCCTGCTTTTATACAGAATAACTAAAAGTAGTTATCTGATTCTAAGTAGATTCCTAATTATAGCAAAATCAATTATTAATTGAAACCCTTGGTAGTAGTCAAAATGTCCCCCACACCCCTGTCCACCTCAATGCCCCCCAATAAGATAAAGATATACTAATTTCTAAAATCTGTACAAATGTGCTATCTTACATATCAAAAGGGATTTAGCAGAGTGCTTGTTCTGAAATATAAGATTCAACATGCAAGGATCCAAGAGAAGCCTCTAGGCACAGAGGGGGCTGAAAAGCAGAAAGGAACTCTGTCCTATGACTACAAGAGTTCTGAACTGTTTTGAAGTTAGCCAGTAGGGATGAAAGAGAAGGAAAGAGATTCATCCACAGTCTCCAGTAAAAGAAAAAAAAGAAAACACCACAGCATTGCAAACACCATGATTTTTGCTTAGTTTGATAAGACCAATGTCAGCGCTATTACCTACAGAATTATGATACAGTAAATGGGTACTGTATTAAAAACTACTTTGTTACAGCAACAACAGAAAACAAATAATACATTCTCTCAGAAGGACAAACTCACCAAAAACAAGGGAAGAGTGAATATTTAAAAATACCTAAAACACATGTAATTAAGACAAGCTTAAAGTGGCACAGACAACACTGAACATTTTATACCCTAGTAAAATACAAGATCCAAACCAGAAATCAACCTTAACTAATCCAAATGATATAAATCACATACCCTGAACATTACATAAGAATTCCTTTCCAAACCTTATACATTAAAAAGATATTTCTAATTTAAATGGAAGTAACAAAACAATTAATGTCTTTCTTAATGTTCTGTGACTAACTAGAAGTAAACGATCCCTTCAGATCCCTGCCTCCTCCACTACAGTGCCCTGCTTCTAACAAACAATTCACCATTCTAGGCTCTGTCAGTCAAGATGTCAGAGGATGATGACAATCAATCTCTCACATCTACTTTCACCCACTCCTACAAAGAAATGTGAAAACACACCCCAAACATCTGTGTGAAATGCATTTAAGATACCTTAGCCTAGAGGAGAAGCTATTACGGCCAATACCATGAATTAGATCTGAAAACTATAGTAAACAAGCACCAAGTAATTTTTCTAGTGACTCTGAGCAGCTGTGATAGCTGACTCACTCTGTCAATGATTAAAGATGCAAACCATAAAATAACACACCTTGTTACCACCTCGAGGCTATGACTATTTCAAGCATTTCAAGCAGGTACAAGCATTACATTTCTACAAAAGTAGTCAGCCAAGTACATGCACTGAGCTTTCTTCTTTTTATTAGGTTTATTGTAATATGCAAGATGTATAATAGAAAGAAGTCATTCAGGTCCATTCCTTTCTAAATCACCCCTCATAAATAGAAATTACTCAGAACAGGAGTCTTCTAATAGCAGAAACTTTCTTTTATGTGAAGAATTCATTCAAATACTTCCCAGGCTAACAGAGAGCTAATACGTTTAATACATTATGTGATTTTTCTAAATATACACATAAACCCAAAATTATCTACTCTGAATGTATTTCTATCCATTGTACCCAATAGTTCTGTGTGTAAATTTTACCTAATTAGAATGAATAACAGAGAAACACCATACAGTGGCTAAAATAAACTGTATGTATCATTTTCTAGTAAATCTATATCTATTTTACATACTCTGTAAAACAGTTTCATTTGGAAGCTGTCCTCTGCTAGCCAACACCTTTGCCTCAAAAAGCACAGGAAAGGAAGCTAACTAATAGAATCCACCATTACTTTGAAGATGTTCTCTATTTCACACCACAGGGGGAAATTAATTAAATTTAACAGAAGTTGCTGCTTGTGAATGAAAATACACAGTATGTGAATTAAATGAAATATACTAGGCAAAAAATACAAAATTTTACACCAAATTTAACATGAAGATAAATTCCTTGTTAAAATGAGTTCTACATCAAGAAATTCATTTCTGCAATCAGGACAGTTTAAATCATTTCTTCTTACTATCCTCCCTCATTCTCTAGTTACAATTTTATCAGACACTTTCCTCTGTAAATAGTTATTTATTCCTAAACCCATGGACTGACTTCTAATATGGAGAGATCCAAGTGTACCTAACATGAAACCACAGGGAGCAACCAGAAAGTCTTGCAAAAAACCAATTGGTGACCTTAAGAAAAAAAGCAAACAGCAGTTGCATAAAATTACCTTTCAAGGTAAAGTGTTCCATATTAATCCTAAAACAAAAACATAGCTACAAATCATAATACAGCCTCTGTAAAATAAATATATCTATTCTGAAATAAATTATCATGATGAGAGCACACAACATCAATAAGGAAAAAAAAATATTGTATATAATCTTAACTTTTCCACTACAATAACCAGGATACACATTTAATTTATATTTTATTTATGAACCATAACTTACCAATTTAGCAATTTTTCCATAGTCAATCCATCTGACAGTAGCAAAATTTGTAGATTCTGCACAGTTGAAACCATGATTAAAACCAGCATGGTAGCCATAAGGGAAAGTGATCATAAATTCTCCAGCCTCCTGGGTTATCTACAGGGTAAAATACATAGAATATTTTCCAATTATATGCTTTCCCAAGTTGCAAACACAATTAAAATAGACTTCCTCTTTTAAAAAACAAGGAAAACATGCCTTGCTACCAAGTAATTCCAACATAAGTCCCCCAAATCTTTTCATAACTTTTCAGGAAACTTAAAAGATAATTTTAAACAAGTACTGAACTTAAGGAAATATATTGAAAAGTATTAACTTTTCCAATAACCCACTAGTTCAATCATTAAATCCATAATCAAAAACACTATATTTAATTTGCAAATGTCTTTAAGATATTACAATGTCTTGTTCGCATTAGCAACCAATCTGCTTATTTTATCACAGTGTATATGTCTTAATACTTTAAAAATTCACTTTACTGGATTTCTATTATAAGTCATATAATTAACATGTTTTAAGCTAGAGATACAAAAACTTTGATAATGCACGCCAAACAGACTTTATTATGAATTTTTGTTTGCTAAAGAGTTGATGGTATTCACCAAAGTATTCATCCATAATTCTTAAAATGCATACAACTAAGTGTATTCCAATTAACAGAAAAATTCTGTGTATGTACATGTATGAGTGTAATCAAAAATAAAATAAAATGGGCAAATGTATAAGGAAAAGCAAACACTAAAAAATGCATTTATTCCATTGCTATTTTTTAAAATAAAAATATGTGGCTTTTTATAATTACAAAAAAGCACAAAATATACCATGAGCATACAAAAAATAGTGAAATTAAATTTTTCAGTGTTTTTTTTAATTTGCGCAAACTGTACTAGATTTATTACTCACTAGTTCAGTCACTATGGTTACTTTCATTCCTAAAGTATCAAGAAATGAACATATGAATATGTGCACCAACAGGTGCATATAATGAAATTCAATTGACAATTCAGAGATGTGAAAATGCGATTTGGAGTTATTTTCTTTTCCAACAATTCTGAGTTTTAGGTCATCATTCCCTCCCCCATTTCACCATAGCCAGTTTCACTCAACTCTCAGCAGTTGAGTGACAACTTACCTTCCACCTAGCAGGCAAAGAATGGCTTATCGGTGTTCAACATGGTTCAAGGTCCATCATTCTGAGTCACAGAAGAACACAGCCTGATTCTCTTTTCATAGTATCACTAAATTTTATCAATTATTATTTTGATTGGAAACTAGGCACTTCTTTGAACTATGTTATAAGGCAAAACTCACCCTGTTCACCTGTTCCTACACTGTAATGGTATGGGAAGAGAACAGAATTGCTGCTACTGGAATAAGGAAATTACCTTTATTGGTTAACAGAATCTTACCTATAATCCTTCTCTATTCTACTGAGAAAATCCTGCTCTTGTAATATTGAAAAAGAGCATTTATTTCATCAAATAAAACTAAATTTTATGCCTCTGTATAATTTCTAGAAACAGGTCAGTTTCAATTAGTCAGAATGTAAGACTAATTTACCCCTTTATACAACAAGCTAAAATGACAGTACAGGTACAGAAACAAGTCCACTTCACTCTAAGACTAAACAAGCAACACAATCCAATATCATGAAAGTTATAGATGCATGTAATTTAAAAGCAAGACGTAACTTTTAAAACGCAATTTTTCATATGAATATGTAGAAATGTACTCATTGGAAAAGGAGAAAAATATGTATTTTTCTAATTGTAAATGCCTACAGGGAAACATCTGGACTGAAGAGGAAGAGTATGTCACTATATAACACAGGCATAGCAAAATGCTTCATATATACTATCTTTTTTCATCCTCATAAGACCTCCACTAAGTAGGCACTATAATTCACCCCATTATCCAGACGATGATGACACCAAGGCTCAGAAATATTATGCAGTTTGTGTAAGTGACAGAATCAGGAATGAACTTGGGAAGTTTAATTCCAAAGCCTATGCTACTCTGCCCAGTGTTGCATTATCGTCATACAATAAGATCCTTGAGTAGTAGTCCTCATCTTAATGAAGTCTATCAAGGTGGAAGTAGAAGTCTTTCATATTTCATATGTCCTCAGAGTCACTGATGTCTCATCATCTGAGGGCTAACATTCTGCCACTACTCACAGAAACCATGAAATGTCCATTCTTCAAAAGACCAGATGAAAGTCTGGTGCATCTAGTGATCCACCAAGTAATACTTCATGACTCACTGCTCAGAAAGGTGTAAAGGGCACCTGCTTCCTCCTCCCCAAATTGAAAGGGAAATTGCAAGCTCCAAAGACCTCCATTTATGGGAAATGAACCATCCTGGTTCCAGCAACTTCAGTTAATGCCCTGTCTAAAAAGCTGTTGTATCAATATTTATTACCAACTTCTAAAACCTATAAAGATTTTTACTTCTTGGGGAACTCTAGTCCACTCTTCCATTGTCTTTGACTATTTCAACTTAAATAATAATACCTGGGCCCTCCCTGGTGGCGCAGTGGGTTAAAGCACAACACTGAGAAGCTGAAGCCACTTCCGCATGAGTTCGATTCCCGCCTGCCCCGGGAATCCACATGGCGTGGCAGACCTCTCCTGGCCCGCCCTCTGTGTACTTCACTGATCTGCCTGTTCTGCTCCCCAGTCTGTCTCTGGTGAATCCTCTCGCTGCCCCTGAGCCTCTGGCCTGTACCCCAGCTCTGTATGCACAAATAAATAAATCTTATTTTTTTTTTAAAGATTTATTTATTTGTGCATACAGAACTAGGGTACAGGCCAGAGGCTCAGGGGCAGTGAGAGGCTTCGCCAGAGACAGAGTGGGGAGTAGAACAGGCAGATCAACGAAGTACACTGCTGAGGGGAGCAGCGGGCGCGTCAGGAGAGGTCTGCCACGCCATGTGGTCACCTCCGGGGCCAGCGGGAATCGAACTCATGCAGAAGTGGCTTTAGGTTCTCGGTGCTGTGCTTTAACCTGCTGTGCCACCAGGGAGGGCCAAATAAATAAATCTTTAAAAAAAATAATAATAATACCTAATCAAGGTCATGTCAACCACCTCAAAGGATCACTGATGATATTCATGACTTAAATGCCTGCTGGGCCATTCCAGGGTGCACAGCCTCTGCCCACTGTACCTGTGATACTGCTACAGCCCATAATCGGCTCCAATCCATACCTGTAGAAGTCCCCCCACAGTATGTCTCAGAAATATACATTTTTTGTCATGAGTAAAAGTATGTGAGTAGACCAGTGGAGAGAGCATTCTTGTTACACAAGAGAAGTATGGTGCATTTATGACTTATGCATAGATGGTTTCTGAGGGAGCAAAAACCACAAGTTGAAGAATGAGTCTTGGTACTTGCAAAAATTCTGCTTTGAACAAAACCAAATATGGGGGAAGGAGTGGGAGAGAGACTTCAAGGAGCTGAGATAAAGAAGTTAAAGATTCAGTCACAAATGAAAAGTTTCTAAGGTAAAAAACAGCAAGGATTATGGGAGGAAAAGTCAAATAAAAAATGGAGAGAGAAGAGCTATTTTTTTAATGTTTCTGCAAGCAGCTAAGTACTTAATTCTCCTCCAACTGAGGAAAGGCTTTTATTTATCGTCAAAAGCTTTTTCATTTCAGTTTCTTCACATAAAAATGTTCATACTCTGTAATATTCTGACCCAATATCTACCAATAGGCACTAAAAAAGAGGGATCTAGCATGTACTGAGTCTTACAGAACTTAATCTTCAGAAATACTCCAAAGAAGCACTATCTCATTATTAAATCATCATACCACTTTATCCATAATGAAATCTCAATTGTATTATGCTCAAATGTGTTTAGAAGCAAAATACTGGTACCACAATCATTAATTCTAACTCACCAAACTGCTAATAGTAATTGCTCTGTATTCTTTTTACTAAATAAATCATATAGATATAAATTATGTTGCTCAAATAAAAGTAGCAAAAATACTACTTCTTATCTTGTTGAATGTGCAATATTTCACTGTCAAATTGTTATAAGTGAACAGTATAAATCTCTAGTAAATGTACTCTGGAATAAAAGTAATTTCAAATTAGTATTCAGATAAATTATTGTTATGTTAATAAAATGAGTTTGAATTTTTCACCCCACATCTTAAAAATGCTACTGGAAGTTAAAGCTATATTAACTAACATTAAATGTATCAGAAACACAAATACTATACACACAATGAATTTGTTTAAGAGTAATGATAATATACCTTGTCAAAGGGAATACCATATTTCTTCAATACTGAAGGAGATATCAGTGTCATCTTGTGACGAAGAAATGCATCACACCCTTGAGAACTGCTTGGGAAAAATCCTAAATGGAAACAATAAATATAAGAAGTAATACATTGATTAATATAAAACTTCAGATAGTTTTTTGGGTTTTTTTAAAAGATTTATTTATTTATTCATACAGAACTGGGGTATAGGCCAGAGATGTGGAGGGTGAGAGAATTCACCAGAGACAGAGTGGGGAGCAGAACAGGCAGAATGACCAAGTACACTGCTGAGGGGAGCAGTGGGCGGGACAGGAGAGGTCTGCCTCACCATGTGGATCTCCTCCGGGGCAGGTGGGAATCGAACTCATGTGGAAGTGGTTTAAGCTTCTTAGTGCAGTGCTTTAACCTGCTGCACCACCAGGAAGGGCCAAATTTCAGATAGTTTTTTAACTTATTTTCTATTACTAGAATTGTCCGTAAAAAAAAAATCCTGGGCTTTAGAGGGAAAACTTTTTAAATATTAAGTATATATTTACATCATAAAAGTTAGACTTCTTTACACAAAAATCTACCAAGAATTATTTTCATAACATAGAGAGGAATTTCTCACTTTAGATTCCTAGGAGCTATCATTCCACAAGCACAGAATACAGTAGACAGAGCAGTTTCCCTCTTTCCCTCCTTAATTTGTTTCTTCTGGTCAGTTTAAAACAGTTAACACCTGGGCCATCTCCAGTGGAGCAACAAGATAAAACATAGCACTGTGAAGCTACCAAAGCCACCACAGCATGAGTTCGATCCCCAGCCAGGGAGATGACCCACATGATGTAGCAGACCCCTGCTGACCCACCCGCTACTTCCCTCAGCAGTATACTTCATCAATCTGCCTGTTTTGCTCTCCACTCTGTCTCTGGTGAATCCTCTCACCCC